GAGTGACTAGATAATCAATGTTTGCAAATATCTAATATTTAGATCATTGAACCGTTACAAGAATTGTACATAAAGTCATTTCCAATTTTAGTAAGTTTCAAACGTTCTCAGCAGCTTGGCAAATAGCAGGAGTATTACATTAAAACATGGCAAATATAAGTGAGCATGGATGAATTCACACATAAAAAATGCCCGAGACATGGAAGTGGAAAGGTTGTCTGAGCTTTAAACACAAACTACAGAAACCCTGTTACCATGCTGATCATTGGAAGTTATCAACAAGTCAGGAAGTGTCAAAATGGCTGTCGCTGATGTTATAAAGGCAACACTGCAAGCACCATAACCACTACAGTCAGCTGTAGTAGTTATGGTGTCAGGAATACCCTGGTGCCATCCCACAGTAGGATGACAAACCATCTTATTACAGTCTGACAACTTACCAAAAGTTAATGGACTGCAAGCTCTTAATCATCATATATAAAAATGGACTTCTTAAACATTTAGGTGCATTTAAGCACTACAAACTTTTTTCAATAAGTAATTTTGCCAAGTTATACGTTAGGAAATAGTAGTGGCTACCAGCTCAGAAGATCACAAGTGAAACATGCCTGCTCTGGGCAAACCTATTGTATCCTGTGGAGTTCTATTGCAATGAATTGGAAAACACATTTTTTTTATCTTGAAATACTTCCAATATGCAAAAAAAATGGTAAACTGTAAGTGGTGGTCGCTATCAGTAAAGGCAGCAATGTGTCCCATGGAGACATAGCACGTGGGGTCGATCATGGAAGTCTGTCCGTATTTCTTTAACCACAAATATATGACAGTTGTTTTTATTTACAAATCATAAATAAACATTCTGAGCACCATAACAACTTATTTTTAATTTAAGTTGTTATGGTACCAGGAGGCCCTGGGCACCATCTTTCCTTGATTGCTTAGTTTAAGGCCAATTTTAGAATGGGCCCAGCAATGGTTTAACCCCGAAGTTGCAAAGACAGTGTTTGTGAACTGACACAGCATTAGACTGGGCATCACTGACTGGCTTTTAACTAACTCTGCATACATACCTATGTTGTTTTGGTGCCTGGAGTGGCTGATTTTTTACCAGCAAGAATGGATACAATTCCAAAAAAAGGTAAAAACATATTTATTAGTGTAACGGATCACCTGGCACCCTGACTGGGTACCTCCGTTGAAGGATGCTCCTAGCGCTTCTTGAGGACCCAAAGCACTCAAGCCAACACCACAACCACTGCAGGGCAAACCTCTCTTCCTTCAAAGCAAAGCAGGAACAAGCTCTTAGGAGAGATTATAGCAATGCCTTATAGCAGATTCCCCCAATAAGAGACAGCACTCCAAATTGAGAGTGAAGTAGAACTGTCTAAAACTTTATTTTACTTAGGACTAGCCCATATGGTCATTACATTAACATTGCTGTGAAAACTCAATAAAATTACAAACAGTCAAATCATAGCAGGCAACATACAGTGACTTATTATAACATAATTACATATTTATAAATGGGTGGGGAAGACCATAATTAATACAAAATGTCTCTCCTGCATGCAGAATTAGCGATATGCAAATCTACCCGAATATGCAAATTACCAGTCTTGCTATTCAGGTGGTGCATATTACTGTTGCTACCAACAGAGGGCACTACACAAGCTCCATTGCCAAATCCACCTAGTTGGTAGGAATCCTCAGCAGTACAGGAGAGGAGGCAATACATCCCAGGGGCCATAGTCACATGGCAGGAGGCTGACAATCAGTCTTCTCCAATGCCCAGTGACGAGGCTGGTTCCGCCACATTTCTCTCCTTTTCCATACAGACTAACAGGGTATCTGACCTCCTGTCGGTCAGTGCCCTGGTTAGTCCAGCAACCCACCCACGAAGCACAAACAGTAATACAGCCCACCCACAATACATGGTTACTACACCTGGGTAAAAGATTAGCTCGTCCATGTCCAGGTGCCTCACCATGGCTGTGTGGGGTACTTATAGGCTGCCTTGGTGGGTTGCTGAGTGGGCAGAGACCCGCAGTACTCTGCCCTCATGCCAGCGCTACCACAGGAGTAGCCTGGTTGGAGCCATGCTGAAAAGAAGAGTTGGTAGGCTCCTCTCTGGGGATCTGGGGCTGCTGCTGGAGGGGGAGACTCACTGTCTCCCCTTTGGTTACATAGTCCTGCTGCTGGAGGGGGAGACTGACTGTCTCCCCTTTGGACACACAGCCCTGCTGCTGGAGGGGGAGACCGACTGTCTCCCCTTTGGCTAAACAGCCCTGCTGCTGGAGGGGGAGACCGACTGTCTCTACCCCCGGTGGTGCATGTGCAGAGACCACGGTCCCATCTGCACTGTTGTGGAGCTTACTGTCTCCCCTTGGTGGGCTAAGCTGCCGCTGGGGAGAGGGGGTAACAAGCTCCTCCCCCATACATATTTTCAGCCGCTGGGAAGAGGGGGTAACAAGCTCCTCTCCCATACATACTTTCAGCCACTGGGGAGAGGGGATAACAAGCTCCTCTCTCTGACACTCTCTCAGCTGTTGGAGAGGGGGACAGACTGTCCCCCCTTTCAATATATTGTCCCGCTGCTGGGGAGCGAGACCGACTGTCTCTGCTCCATGATGGACACACTGCTGCTGGGGAGGAAGGACGCACCTTTGGCTCCCTGGGACTCGCTTGACTGCTGGGGAGAGGGACCGACTGTCTCCTCTCCCAAGAACGTACACTGCCGCTGGGGAGGAAGGACAGCACCTTTGTCTCCCTGTAATTCACTGGACTGCTGGGGAGAGGGACCAACTGTCTCCTCTCCTAAGGACACACACTGCCACTGGGGAGGAAGGACGGTACCTTCAGCTCCCTGGGACTCACTGGACTGCTGGGGAGAGGGACCAGCTGTCTCCAGAGACTAGTTTCAATAGTATCCCACAACAAACCAGGGCCATCGTAGTCTTCCCCCTCAATACACTTGTACTCGATCAGCATTGGGTAGAGGTGGTGAGCATGCCACCGCAGGGCCCGATACGAATCAACCAGCCACACCTCAGTCTCAACTAGCTTCTCCAGTTCGCTTACCCATTCCTCTGAGGGCTGGTTTCCCAATAACGGCATCCGCAGCTCTAGTTGTTCTGCTTGGCGCTGGTTAGTGGTCAGGATTTCCTCGCACCGGAAGGGTCGAATTTCGTCGATGTCCTCCTTCCAGGGATCGGTACGAAGCGCCACCCTCCACTCTGTCTCTCTTTCCTCTGGAATAGGATACTCAATACTGCGCATCACATCCTGTAGTCGCTGCTGGAGCCTTCCATCTCAGAAGTAGTGCTGGTTTTCCCAAGGCTAGGAAGCCATCCCACCACTGCCACCAATGTAACGGATCACCTGGCACCCAACTGAGTACCTCCATTGAAGGATGCTCCTAGTGCTTCTTGAGGACCCAAAGTACTCTAGCTGACACCACAACCACTGCAGGACAAAGCGAAGCAGGAACAAGCTCTTACAAAAGTTTAGGAGTGATTATAGCAAGTGAATATGCAGAGCATAGCAATCCCTTGTAGCAGATTCCCCCAATAAGAGACAGCACTCCAAATTGAGGATGAAGTAGAACTGTCTAAAACTTTATTTTACTTGGGACTAGCCCATATGGTCATTACATTAACATTGCTGTGAAAACTCAATAAAATTACAAACAGTCATAGCAGGCAAGGCAGGAGGCTGGCAATCAGTCTTCTCCAAAGCTCAGTGGCGAGGCTGATTCCACACACAATTAGAAACATTATTCTCATCTCCTCCTCTATCCTACTCGTGTAACTTTTATATAGTGGTTAACAATTATGGAGATATAGTTATGAAACCTTATGAAATGCATTGTTTTATTGCGCTGGCTCATCTTGATTGTAGTGAAAAACAAACCAATTTCCTGTATTTCTTATATACGTATCCTTTTCCCCCTTGGGTGGGGCTGAGAAACGTGTACTCATTTACAATAACAGCAACAAAAAAAATCCAAAAGCGAACAGAAAAAGAACAAAATAGCAGTAGTAATCTCCCCACTGTTCATGTAAAGTGTAATTCAGAAATATTCCCGTCTGCCAATTTTATTCATTTCAAAGCGAAAATCCTATCATTTTACAGTCGTTTTTAATTGATTAATTGTTAATTCATAGATAATTCATTAAAAGAAAAAAAAATTGTCAATAGCCAATGGTTTGACTCCAATGCAATTCATACAAAGTTATTCACTAAAGCCAGATTTGTCAGGAATTCAAAGTGAATTTCAAACTTAAGGAGATAGTATAGGCACCAAAAAAACCTTAGCAGTTTTGGTGTATAGCTCATGCCCCTGCAGTCTCTTTCATTTAGGATTTAAATAACTGTGTTTATGCATCCCTGGTCACACCTCCCTGCGTGTGACTTTCACAGTCTTCCTTACCCTTCCTCTATTGAGAGATCTGAAGTTTACACTTCCTTTATTGCACATTCTGTTTTATTTAGAATATTGTATCGCCCTGCTCTGTCAATAGCCTTTTAGGCCCTGAAATGGCCTCCTGTATTTGATTAAAGTTAAATTGACAGAGATGGAGATAAAAGCTTCTAAAGCATCACATTTAAATAAACCATTTCTTCATGCAGGCTGTGTGAGTCAGAGCCAAGGGAGGTGTTGGTAGCCACATGAACAGAAACAAAAGCAGTTTAACTCCTAAACACTTAACTCCACAAAAACTGCTTCGTGAAGCTGTTAAAGTTGTTTATATGCTTATAATATCCTTTTAAATGCAAAATACTCAGACTAAAAGTATAACTGACTTAGATATTTTTTCCAGCACAGCTACTTTGACTTTAAATGTAAATTGAAGCATAAAGCAGGCTGATAGTTAAACTGACATTTTGTGCTAAGAGCGAGTCAGACTTGGTAAATTACCTTCATGTAAACAAGGAAACAAACAGATCTATTCAAAATGTGTTTCCAAGGCACGGACTGCTGAAAGGCAGGGCCTCGGTAACAGGGATCTAAGCAGTATTTATCACCATGGGCAGCAAGTAACTAGCTTTACGTTGCACAAGAGGCACACCTTGTTTTAGAATCCTTACTTTTATGAAAGAATTCCACTAACAGAAAACCAGTTCTCTGTCCAGATATTTGGGACTAAAATCTTCAATATTTGGTTCGATGGAATCGTTTCCCAGGCTTCGACCTATTGTCCCCGCTGTCTGTGAAACTCCCTGTCCTACCCCAGCTCACAAAGGCGAATTATTAAAGGATTTGCTTCCAGTTGTCTGCACCTCTGTTGTGCTGTCTACCACTTACCCTCAATTCACAGGACGAGAACTGGAATCGAAAATCAGAAATGGAGAAATTCAGAGATGGACTAATCCCTTTCACGAGAACAAGCATCCAGTCCAAGCAGATAAACATAGAGACAACAGGAAAAAGTCAGAGATTGTAAAGTTTGGAACTGTTACTGATTTGAGGAAACATAGAGTTTTGGGCAATACAACGCCTGGATTCTTTACAGATTTAGCTCATTTACAGATGCAACTTATCTCAGGTAAATTTGATTCCTTGTGAAATTTACAAAAGATTATTAGACAGACAGACAGATAGACAGACAGACAGATAGGTAGACAGACAGACAGATAGATAGATAGATAGATAGATAGATAGACAGATAGATAGATAGATAGATAGATAGATAGATAGATAGATACATTGATAGATAGATAGATAGATAGATAGATAGACAGATAGATAGATAGATAGATAGATAGATACATTGATAGATAGATAGATAGATAGATAGATAGATAGATAGATAGATAGCCTGATAAATAGTGTAATGCAACTTCCACCATGCACAGTCATTCAAATACTGACAGACTATCATGCACACATTGACAGACAGACATACATACATACATCAGTCTGTCATGCTGGTGCAATTATGCAGACATGCACAGACTGCAGGCATATACAGCTAAACACATACAAGTCAAAACACAGACTGACAGGTTGGCATAAAAACACAAACAGACCAACACACAGATTGGCAGGTTTATACACACAGACTAAGCAACTAACTACATGTATGCTGTTGGCGTGGGGGAGCTTTGTAATTATTTCTGTGTGGTATAATCTGAAAATATCTTCTGTTAATGAGTATCACAAAACTGTGTGTGTGTGTGTGTGTGTGTGTTTGTGTGTACACAATTATATTTATTTACATTTTTGATTTTATACAGTCTCATCCTGCTATTAAATTATTTTGTCCTAAGTTTTTATTTATTTCTATGAAGGATATCCCAGAGGCAAACCGCTATTTAAAGACAACACTTCACTTGTATCATCCATGAGATCCTCTCAAATTGAGAAAAGAAAAAAACCCACTCGGAGAATGGCAGTAAAAACGAGGTATCAGTTGCTCCCCCCTATCCTAGATGTCTGGACTCAAAATGATGCAATGGAGAGATCAATCAGATTAGGAATTTAAAGCATTCTGTAACTGACAAAAAAAAAAAAAAAACAGAAAAAACTAGCATACACAAAATAAAACTGGACTGCTATGGAAAAAGTGAACAATATTCTTTTTGGAATTTTCGAGGCAGCTCTAGAATGATGAATTAGGTTCTACTTTGGAAACCAACATGTTTTTTATTATATATGTCTTTCCATGATCATTAGGAAACATCATCACATCACCATGGAAACTAGTGGAACCAGCAGGTATATTCCACTGATAACTCCTCTCCTTTACATATATGAAAAACCTTTCTGAATATGTCACTTTGATAAATTTCTCCATGTTAATAGTATCGGTGTCTTTCTTGTCTCTGCACATGTTTTGATATTTATCTGTATTCTGATTCATTGGCAGCTTTCTTTAAAATTCAGCACCTCATGCAGCAGTATAGGAAACACAGTAAAGAACAGGGCCAGACTGGGGACAAAATTTGGCCCGGACATTTTTTAATCACAGCGGCCCATTGAGAAGGGGACGGGGCCAGATAGGGTGTGTTTTGTCATCAATAATGACAAGCACACCCATTGTAAAGCTCTATGGAATTTGTTGGCACTATATAAATATAATAATAATAATAATCTCAAAGTGAACATGTTGGCTTAATGATCTTCCAGGGCAGACCATGCGCAGAGCTCTGCTGAAGAGCTCTAGCATGAGAAAAAGGCCCTGTATTTGTTCTGCACAGCGCAAGCAAATACAATAACATGCTTGTGCTGGGTTTGCTTGAAACTTGTCTCTGATGTCTCCATAAATGGGATACCAGGAGACAAAAATGCCAGGAAAGAGTATTGTGCATGTGTTTGGAGCCTGCCTGTGGGATTGCATGTGTGTAGAGTGAGCTGATTGTGGTGTGGTATTGTGTTAATAGGTTGGTTTCAGTCGTGTAGTGTTGGTGGTGTAATGTAATGTATGTGTGTCTAGGTGCTGTAGAGAGTGTGTGTATGTATAGGGGGTATAGTGTGTATAGGTGATGTAGTGAGTGTGTGCATACTGGCTGTAGTGTGTTTGTGTGTGTGTGTGTGTGTATAGTTGTAGCGAGTGTGTTTTTAGGGAATGTAGTATGTGTTTGCTTACAGGGAATCGAGTGTATGCATAGGGGATCCATAGTGTGTATGTCAGAAATGTAGTGTGTGTGTAGATGGTGCAGTGTTTGCGTAGGGGATCTAGTGTGTGTTTGAAGGACCCAGAATGTGTATAGGAGATCTAGTGAGTGTGTGTGTGTATAGAGGATTCAGAGTGTATATAGGGATCTAGTTTGTGTATGTATGTATGTATGTAGATGAGCCAGAGTTGGGTAAGGGATCTTGTGTATGTCTGGAATGTAATGTGTTTAGGGGTGCAGTATGTGTGTGAGGGATTCTGTAGGATATATACATATATGTTTGTGTGCAGTGTGTATGTGTGAGGTGTGCAGTGTGTGTGTGAGGGGTGCACTGTTTGTGAGAGGGGTGCACTGTGTGTTAGAGGGATGCACTGTGTGTGAGTGTGAGGGATGCTGTGTGTGTGCAAAAGGGGTGATGTGTGTGTGTGAAATGGGTGAAGTGTGTGTGAGGGTGCAGTGTGTGTGAGAGTGCAGTGTGTGTGCTGTGTGTGAGTGAGGTGTGCAGTGTGTGAGTGAGATGTGTAGGGTGTGTGAGGGGTGCAGTGTGTGAGGGGTGCAGTGTGTGAGGGATGCAGTGTGTGAGGGTGCTGTGTGTGTGAGAGGATGCTGTCAGGGCCAGATTAACATACGGGCCGATGAAGCTGCAGCTCCAGGCCCATGGAATATGCCCATTGATTTAAAAAAAACAACAACTTTTTTTTACCCACTGTAGGGTTGCCACCTGGCTGTTATTTTACTGGCACAGACTGTATTTGAGTCTCCTGGCAATGCTGTTATTGCAGTAATACAGGCAACACAAATGCAGGTATTTTTCTCAGTATAGACGGAAATTACTCTGCACTATGGGACACGGGGAGAGGAACGCTGGAAGACTTGGGAACGCTGGGAGACTTGGGGACACTGGGAGACTTGGGGATGCTTGGAGACACCATGTGACACCATGTGTCCCCTAGTCTCTCAGTGTCCCCATGTCTCCCAGCCAGTGTCCCCATGTCTCTAAGTGTCTCAGTGTCCCCAAATGTATTAGAGTCCCCATGTCTCCCAGTGTCTCTGTGTCCCCATGTCTCCATGTGTGCCCTAGTCTCCCAGTGCCTTTGTCCCCATGTCTCTCAGTGTCCCTAGTGTCAGTGTCCCCATGTCTCATAGTGTCCCCATGTCTGTTTCCAAAAGTGCCCTCATATCTTCCAGTGTCTCCAAATGTCTCAGTGTCCCCTAGTGTCACTAGTATCCTAGTGACATGGGGTCATTGGGAGACATGAGGACACAGACACTAGGAGGCATGGTGACCCAGACACTAGGGGACACTGGGAGATATGGGGACACTGGGAGACACATGGGGACACTGGGAGACACATGAGGACACTGTGAGACATGGGGACACTGTGAGACATGCGCACACTGTGAGACACGAGGGGACACTCTGAGACACTAGGGGACACTGTAAGACATGGGGATGTTTTGAGACTTGGGGACATGGCCCCCTGTATCCCAGTGTCACCTAGTCTCTCAGTGTCCACATGTCTCCCCATGTCTATCAGTGTCCCTTAGTCTCCCAGTGTCCCCTATTCTCCCAGTGTCATCTGTGTCCCCATGTCTCCGAGTGTTCCCATATCTCCCATTTTCCCTAAGTCTCCCAGTGTCCCTAGTGTATCAGTGTCCCCATGTCTCCCAGTGTCCCCAAGTCTCCTAGTGTCCCCGAGTCTCCCAGTGTCTGTGTCCCCATGTCTCTCAGTGTCCCCATATATCTTAGTGTCCCCAAATGCCCCAGTGTCTCCATGTCTCCCAGTGTCCCTATGTCTGTACCTAGAGATACAGACATGGTCTTCTCCTGTCTCCCTCCACAGCCAGCGACCGTGTTTTACTGTTTGTGGGCTGGTGAGGGAGATCTTTGATCTTCCCACCGGCCCGTCATGGAACACAGCTGGCCGGCGCTTGGATAGCGTGGGCCCTGCATGGGCCGACAGGGGAGATCCTGTGACCTCCCCTGCCAGCCTCGGCCCATGACTATCATGGCTCACCGGTGTGCCTGATAGCCAGTCCGTGCCTGGTGAATACTAATATGATATATTTAAATTTGATTTAAAGGATTTTATTGTCTAAACAATGAATTGCAGCAAATTGTAAACAGTAGTTACAAATAGGCTAAAACAGATATTTGGAAAAATTAGCTTACATTGTAAGTCAGGCCTAAAAAAGGAACTGTAATATCATTAAAGCTTGCATATATTATCTTACCAAACTTTTCATAATTTTTATAATGAATTTATTACAAAAGGTATTATAATGTTTGTACAATATTTCAAGATGCGATTTTCACACTGAGAATGATGGAAGCGGCCTCTAGTGGCTGTCAGGGAGACAGCCATTAGAGGCTGGATTAACCCTGCAATTACTGCTATGTTTTCAGCTGCAGGGTTAAAACTAGGGGAACCTGGCACTCAGACCACTTCATTGAGCTGAAGTGGTCTGTGTGCCTATAGTTGTCTTTTAACTTAGAAGCAGTATTTGGAGCAATAATTCTTCATTCTTTAAAAAAAACAAAAAACTGTCTCATGCAATAATATCTTAGTTTTATTATTGTTTTCTTTGTATTCAGTATTTATTATAGTGTTTCTATTGAACAATTTCTATAACTGTGTTTAATAATCCTAGATTATTCTTCATAATCTGACATTTTTGAGCAGTTTCTCCTGATCCAGATTAACTGACTCCGTACAATCCCATCTAGCCTTGGTTTGTAATAGCAGTTTTTATAATAGAAAAATCTGTTCATTCTGTAGGTTTGAAAAAGCAGAGAAGTGACAGTACCCCATTAATGAAGTGATTCTGGGGCATAGGTGTTGTCCCTGCAGCCTTGCTGTTGTAAATAGTATCATTTCTAAGAAATTGTAAATTGCAATTTCCTCACCTCTAGTGTCTGTCAAAAAGACAGATGCTAAGGGCTTTGGACTAAAATAGATTCAGTCAGGCCCAGACTGGCCATCGGGCATACCGGGCAAATGCCCTTTGGGCCGCGATGGCCGTGGGCCGAGGCCGGCAGGGGTAATCACAGGATCTCCCCTGCAGGGCCAGCGCTACCTGAGCGCCGGCCCTGTTGTGTGCCTCCATGCCTCCATCAAAGATCTCCCTCAACGGCCCACAGGCATGGAGATGCGGCTGCAGGCTGGGGAGGGAGGGAGGAGAGGACCGGCGGAGCTCTAGCCAGCAGCTCCGCCGGGTCCTCTCGCGATGTCTGAGCGTTGCCGTGGTTACCGTGGCAATGCTCAGATCTCGCGAACGTGAACTCTAGCCTGCAGGAGGATGGCAGCACGGCCCCCTCAAGGCAGAATGGCTCCCCCTTATTGCAGAACGGCTCCCCTCCCTCCCAGGCTAAAGGTAAGAAGGGAGGGGGGGGAATATAACTTTTTAAAAATTATTAATAAAAAGTATATTTAAATAAATAAATTCACACTCACACACAGCACACTCAGACACACAGCACCCAAACACACACAGCACCCCCAGACACACACAGCACCCTCAGACACACAGAGCACCCAAACACACAGCACCCCCAGACACACACAGCACCCAGACACACAGCACCCTCAGACACACACAGCACCCTCAGACACGCACAGCACCCAGACACACACAGCACCCTCAGACACACACAGCACCCAAACACACAGCATCCCCAAACACACACAGCACCCAGACACACAGCACCCTCAGACACACACAGCACCCAAACACCCCCAGCACCCAGACACACACAGCACCCTCAGACACACACACAGCACCCTCAGACACACACAGCACCCTCAGACACACACAGCACCCAAACACACACAGCACCCAGACATACACAGCACCCTCAGATACACACGCATCACCCAGACACACACACAGCACCCAGACACACACACAGCACCCCCAGACACACACAGCACCCAGACACCCACAGCACTCAGACACACACAGCACCCTTAGATACACATAGCACCCTCAGATACACACGCAGCACCCAGACACACACGCAGCACCCAGACACACATGCAGCACCCTCAGACACACACAGCACCCTCAGACACACACACAGCACCCTCAGACACACACTGCTCACTAAGAACACACTGCTCACTCAGACACACACTGCTCACTCAGAGAGACAGCACCCTCACTCACACAGCACCTGCACACAGCACACTCCCACACATATACAGCACACACACATACACATATATATATAATAAATAAAATAACCTTCAGTGAGTTAACAGACACAAAAAATTTGAAACCTAGAATGTGACGGCAGATAAAAACACCCTCACACACAGCACCCCTCTTACACACACACACTGCACCCCTCACACACACACACTGCGCCCTTCACACATACAATACGTCCAAATATATATATATACACACTACAGCACCCCTCACACGGCACCACTACACTCATTACGCTCCGGATACACGCTAGATCCCTTACCCTATTTCACTCTTAATCCTCCACACACACACATACAATCTCCTATTCACACTCTGAGTCCTTTACACACTACATCTCCTACACACACACACTGCCCCTAGCCACACATATCACACCACAAACACAAATGAAATTGACCTATTTACACAATACCACACCACACTCTACACACACGCAATCCCACAAGCAGGCTCCAAACACATGCACCATACGTTTTCATGGCCCTTTTGTCCTCTGGTATCCCACTTGTGGAGACACCAGAGACAATTTAAAGGCAATGTTACGGTACCTCCAGTAATAAATGTACAAACCGCCGTTTAGTGAATGCTCCCCATTCGCAATAATGTGGTCTGGTAGCGTGTACAGTATAACCATGCGAACCACCAGCTAGGGAACACTCCAAACTCCCGAACGGTACCTGCCCGGTATTTATGCAGGTCTCCCACTTGGTGGACACTCCCCTAGGGGACCAAATGGGAGACTGGAATAACAGAAGGACATGGGGACATTTCAGACATACATCCCCACAATATTCCCAGCATGCATCACAGTTCCCTCCCCTCTGCTCGGGAGATAATTGGGAAGTAATTAAATTATCTCCCAGAGCAGAGGCAAATCGCCATTTTAAGTACAAGTCATAAAACACATAAAAATACATAACTTTATAACTGCCGAACATATTGCATTCGTGTAACACATCCCCAGATAGCCTGGATCTGAGTGCATATTATTGGTGAATAGCGCTCAGATCCCATTCGCATAGTTCAATCGCCATGGAGTCAAAGTCTATTACAGTTCTTCGGTATGCGATTGACTCCATGGGAAGGCTATCTGGGTTAAGTCCATTCGTGTTGTTGAATCTCCCGAACGGCCGGCATTCGTATACTTTTGTCGATTGAGAAGGGGAGGTCGACGGCTTCAGCGGTGTTCGGTTGAAAAAGTGTCCGCTTTCAGTTCCATGAAATAACCGTCGAACACCGCTGGTCTTTCGCATGGTTAAAATGGCCGCCGCCTCGTGGTCGACATACGAACGACGACCACCCGGTATTCGGTTTTAATTGAGAAGTGTCTGTGGTTAACCGCAACGTTCTAATTGGGATCAATAGGTTAACCAGCAGCACACTTC